GGGGGGGGGGGGAGAGGTTGTTTTACACAGCATTTGAGGGAAGAGGCAAATTAACTGTCCTTGGATTGGATGCTAGATCATCATATAACATGTTAGCCAACCCATATGTCAGGTTGCCCAAACAATAGTTGCCTGTGAACAGGCTCTCTAGTTGAAGATGGGGTGAAGAGAGGGAGGGAAGAAAGAGAAGTGAAGAGAGAGGTGGGGAGAGAGGAGCCCAGCCCCCCTTAGCTACTTCACTGTTAGTCTAGCCTGTGTATGAGCAGAACAAAATCAGGCCACCCAAAGGAGTTTTTTGCATTTGGGCCACATGAAAAATGGGGCTTCACGTGGTCTGAATTGCTCTCGTCCCATTTTTTGCACAGCCCGAATGTGAAAAACTCCTTTGCACAGCCTGATTTCACCTTTAAAAAAACCTTTAAAGTGATTTAAAAGATAAATTGTTTTTCTTTCAAACGAGTATGTGAGATAAAAAAATCTCCGAGTCCCCCACGGGTCTTGAACCCACAACCTTGCACTCGCACGTTGTGCTGGTTATCCTTGCAATCTGATTGGCTCTCAGTGGTGTGATTTATTCATGAATCGCACTATTTTTTGTTANGAAGATGGGGTGAAGAGAGGGAGGGAAGAAAGAGAAGTGAAGAGAGAGGTGGGGAGAGAGGAGCCCAGCCCCCCTTAGCTACTTCACTGTTAGTCTAGCCTGTGTATCAGCAGAACAAAATCAGGCCACCCAAAGGAGTTTTTTGCATTTGGGCCACGTGAAAAATGGGGCTTCACGTGGCCTGAATTGCTCTCGTCCCATTTTTTGCACAACCCGAATGTGAAAAACTCCTTTGCACAGCCTGATTTCAGTCAGCTCGTATGGGAATGCTTGCTACACAGGCTTCTCTCAGCCACTTCCTTCTCGGCCCTCAGACCATTCCAGCTGGAGCCTGTTCACAGGCTACTACAATAGGTCAATTCTTATTCATACTTCTGGGTTGAAAGGAAATGTGGAAACAAAGTATACATTGCTCAAGAACACGGTACAATGACCCAGGCCGGAGCTTGAACCCAGACTGCTTCAACTTGAGTCCAAGGTATTTAGGCTACTCACAGCACCTTCCCCTAGGGAGCAAGGTAATGGGGCAAAATGGCAAAATAAAGATTTTCACAGAAAACCAAGAATAAATCTGAAATCAATTTAGAATTGCAATTTATTGGTAACTGGGAACATTTTTACCTGAATAACAGATTTTAACCCATCATTTCTGATTCCCATGTCTTCAATGGGATCTAGAAAAGGCAGGCCATCTGGAAATTGTAATTTTACTTCCTTTAGAAACACAACCAACGCAAGTCATCTTAATTCTTTCTTATACACGCAAATGTTTATCGCAATGCATTTTAAGTACTGATCTATTGGGAGAAGTCGTGTTTTCTGAGATGATGAAACGGTTATCCTAATGTGCCTTGTACCTTATTGAAATTGAATTTAAAAGTTAAAGACAGGAAAGACAGGAATGGCGAAGTGTATTTTGAATTGGGAGGGGGAGGGGTACTTACAAGCAAATGCCAGAGGTGCTAACTTGTAGGAGGTCTGGAGTTATTTGGAGATATTTCATGTATT